TTTTCCAGAAGTTACTTGAATTTCCTGCTTCAGTGATCTGACTGATCCTTCTTAAATGTCAAGATTTAAGTGCCATAGTAAAAACCAGGCTTATTTGTTAACACCTCATACAGAACACTCCAAAATGTATTAACTGCTACAGAAACATCAGACCTAATTATTCRCTGTTGGATGAGTTTTGTCCAGTGTTGAACTCGTTAATGAGAGATCCCACAAGGAGGTTCAGAAAGCTTTTAAAAATGGGAAGAATGATGAAGCAGGYATGATTTAGAGTATTCCTGGGTGAAGCTGGCTCCATTGTAGTTCTCTCCTGACCCTTTAGGAGTTGTTGCCCGAGAGCAGTGCATGGTTTGGGGGATTCCAGTAGGTGCTTCTGTCTTTCCCAGTCCTGTGGTTCATCCATAGTCCAGTCTCTGCAGTCTCACAGGGCAATCAGGAATGGCCAGGGGCCATCAGGAATGGCCAGGGCCCTTTTGCATGGCCAGCATCCAGACAGGGACACACTGCTCAGGGAACCCCTCCTGCCTCTCCTCTCGCAGGATGGTCAGTCCACTCATTTCAATGAGGCTGTGCAGGATGTTCAGGTCTCGGATCACRCTGCTGTCCAGACAATCCAAGGTACAGCCCTCCCTGGCCACATTGTCCTTCAGAATGATAACACCATTATCCTTCAAGCCATCCTGGCACCGGATCAGAAACTCCAGGAGATCTTTATCTGTCAGATATCCTATAGATTAAAAGGTGGAAAATAGGTCACTATCAACCATTCAGACTACCCCTGCACACATCAGAATGGTGCCTTGGTCTCCATAGCCTGTTTACTGCAAAGTTCTAGCCCTGACAGATTTAACTATGAAATCTTGGGCAGATCAATGAGATCAACAGATACAAACTCAAATCAATATTTAGGATCCATATTAGTAGTGGCAACAGATGTGGACAGGAGCCAGTGAGGAAAATGGAGAAAATACTGGGTGCTGAAGGGTTCTTTAATCTGGTGGTTTAAGTCATAACAAGAATCAGTGGCAGGAAGCTGGAGCCAAAGAAATTAATATAGGGAATAAGTGACAACTGGTCAACAGTTAAGCAATTACCCATTGGAAACTATCAACAGAAGTGGCGTTTACCACCTCTTGAAGTCCTCCAACCAAGAGTGGTTGAATTTCTCAAGATATGTTTAATTGAACACAAACTACTGGCTTGGCACTAGGGTAAAGGAATTAATAGAACAGCCTGTGATACAGAATAGGTCAAACTAGAGAATCACGTCCCCACTGTCTTTCACTGCTGAAAATCTCTGTGACTTTGTGTAGCACCATGTACCCATCAAAGGGGYTCTGGATCAAAGATCCAGCAAAGAATGCAAGACCTTCAACAAATGCCTCTTAAACGCTCTGTGTTACCCTTTACCCCATGGGATTTTTGCAGATATGTATATATTCTAAAATASTACTTTTTTTCAATATGTTATTGAGATTCTGTTTCTTGTCCTTCCTTCTCAAAGACCAAGACTTCTGTTATGTTGAGAACAGTGGTATAGAGCTCAGAGAAGAGCAAAAAGAGAACTCTCTCATGTCAAACATCTAACATGGATTAACAGGGACAGGTGATCAAAAACTGAATGAAAACCTTGGAAAAAAATCATCATTTGTATTTTTCCAGTCAAAATATTTAGTTTGCTTGATGGAAGATTTAAACTTCTATAAATGGAAGYTGTCATTTCAAAACCACATTTTGACATAGCATGTCAAGTTTCTCTAACTACTCCTCAAAAAAAATTAAAAAGAAAAAATCCTCAAAACCTAAAGCTGAATACCTTTCAAGTTGAAGGAAAATGGTATATTCTATATGAAATGTAAGCTTGCACTTTTATTTTTTTTAATAAAATGACTGCCTGGCTTCACATACWTACGCATACGTAAGACAAATCAAGTCTGAACATTTAATTTGGAACTTATTTTTCTCTTAACTTGCCTTTTAATGTAGTTTCCTAAGAAAATGACATTTTCAAGGTGTTGTTCTCTAGCAGACAGTCCAGCCCTTGCTCCATCAAATGGACTTGTTGGCATATTTCAGTCAAATTCAAATAGGGGTAGAAGTTTGACTAATGATTAAGATCAYAACATATTTCCTTGACATTATTGGAGAAAGAAGAATCACATCTGTGTTTATGCCAAGAATAGGATATGCTCTGTTAATTAGGAGACACATATCTGCCTAGCACAGCTTTGGAGAGGTCTGAGCTCACTCATCCTCATTTTGAGTCGGATTTKCTCAAAAGATGGGGCAGGAGCTACATTTACTGCAATGACTCATTACTAAAGAAAAGCAAAAACACAAAGGAAAATTATACTGGTCTGAAGCAATTTGTTCAGACCTTCTCTTGAATAATTCCTTCTGCCCYCTGAAACTGCACCATGGACACTTCAGTTCACAGTTTGGAAGAAAATCCACTGCAGCGATTTTTTTTTTTTTTGTAAGGTACATAGCCTGCATTATCTGATTGCCAGTCTGTTGTTCTAAATGCTGCAGAGCATTCAATGGGGTGGCTGCAGGAGAAGAAGCAGAAATTTCTTCTAGGAGGGACTACTGTGGGACATAGCTAAGGAAATCTGTTTGATTAACATCAGTGCATGTAATAAGACATGATCTGATTTACAGGTATTGGTGATTCCACTATGGCTGTTTTCCTGATTGTTTCCTGAAACACCTCCAAGCCTGGATAATCAGCAGATTCAGACACCACTGCTCACAAGTGAGGCCAGCCCCGTGTATCTGTCTGTAGCACTGGCAATGAATAAAGAGGATTCCTGCTCAAGAAAATCCACATATAAGGATGGCCTCCTCCTCAGCTGCAGCTCTGCATGCAGGCTGCTCTCTAGGAACTGGTACCTTCCTCCTATACATGACCTGAAAAAACCAATTGGTTTGTACTCACTGTGCATGYGGCTTGGGGCAACTCTCAGAAGTCTCTTGTGATATTTTAGGAAGTGATCCCAAAGATTTGRGAACCTCTTGACCACAGGCTGTCTGTTCTCTGAGACGTCAGACTGGAAGAATCACGCTGAACTAACCTGAAACCCACTGAATCCAGATGACGTCATATCTTTGTGGGGCTGGTGTGAATTCCTGGAGGCTTTTGCAGTAATACATCTCTACTCTGTCCTCCTTGCCCTGCAGGTAGTTTGGGACTTCAGCCAGGAAGTTCTCCATCATATCCACCAGTTCCACACTCTTGAAAACTGGCAGCAGGACATGCTTGCTGATCCGACCTATCCCAGAGCCGCAGTCCAGGGCGCGGTTGGTGCCAGCTTTCCCCACCCCCTGTGGGATACAAGAAAATTATTTGAAATCTGAAAAATACCACCTGAAAAATCACAGCAACCTWGTTACCCACCACGGCCTTTAGTCCAGCCAGCCTAGTGTCTTCTCTCCTTATCTCTGCAGGGCTGTTGCAAGATTGATAAAAACCAGCACAGCTTTGAGTCCAGCTGTCTGAGCTGAGCTGGGCAGGCACATTCCCAGGCTGCTGCAGCTGGGACTTCTCACTGCATTTACTGCTGCACAGTAAGTTTTTGCCTGGTGTAAGAAGAGATACAGTCTTTCACAAGCTCCTAACTTTCTCAGAAGATCCACTCCTCTTTGTAAAGTCCTTGCAACTYCAAGTATTCACAGCTCACAGGCAACTACGTGGCTAGAGAAGCCTCATTTCTGTGCTCTGTGAAGGCCTAATAAAAAAGGAAGCATATGCCAAACACGGCACACAAGCAGTAACTTCTGCAGCACAGAACTCTCCAGATGCCCATGGGCATTTCTGCAGATACACAGAATCCCTGGGATCAAAGTGCAGTTCTCAAAACCAATTGTGTTTGAAAAAAGATCTTGGAGTAGTAGGTAACTAAGAACAACTCAAAAAGTTTGGGCTGGAGCATATATGGAAGAAACATGATTGAGTAGATTTTGCTTAAATGTTCTTTTTTTCTTYATAAATGTCATCTTTGGACAGAGATCAGACATTAAAAAACATGGCACAAAGGCTGTGGCTATGAGAAAATAATGAGGCGCTATAAAAGAAGCTTTATAATGAAAGCTGGATTTCACCCCTAAAGCTTCCATTCTAGCTATAAAAAGGCTCTTAAGAGCCTGCTGCTGTTCTGTAAAACAGAAATTTTAAATTTACACATGCACTGACTGTGGKATAGGAGCTCCCCTGGCCAAAGTTATCTGTTAAACAAATACATTAAAAGCAAATGTAAACACCTTTTCCCTGTCCCCTGGAACTGAGTGTTGAAGGGAAAGCAATGGGCCRAAGTCCCTGCTGCAACTTCACTGCTCTCAAAGGAAATAAGCCCAGGAAGAATCTTGCTCTTCCYGCTTATTGGGAGACCCCACCTTGTAATGAAGCAAGCATAAATCATGTAACTCACACTTTTTTGGCCTGGCTTCAGTGGGTAATTCAGTAGATTATTAAGGTCAAAGGACAGTACTGTCAATGACATGACTATGAATAGCCCAGCCGAGCATCCGATTACATGGAGTAACCGTAGAAAGAGCACACGGCCCTCAAGGGCTCTCACCAGCCTCCAGGGCTGCTGCTCCCAATTTGTATACCCAGGAAGATTAATCTCCTGATGTGTGCAAGAGTCCACAAGCCTTCAACCCTGCTGGACTCTGGAGACTACCTGATTTTAGTTAGCCAGAAAATGGGAGCCATTCTTCATCCACAGGCTGCAGTTGGGAGCGTGTGGCTTTTACTGAGGACCAGACTAGGTAACAAGGTAACAAGGTAAGAGGAAAGAGGTAACAAGGAGTTCAGGAAAAGAGAAAAAACTGTGTCTTGGATCTTTACAAAGTGGATTTCCATACTGCTGACCAGCAGATCCCTACAGGTCTACACTGATGGGGTTAACTAAAAATCTTTGAGAAAAACTGGTGAGAAAACCAGGATAATTTACCAAAATTACCAGCAAAATTCAACAAAAAGCCAGGTAACTCCTTCAACATTTGTGTTTCATGGAATCTGCAGCCACAGCGCCTCACTCAAAACAGGGAATTCATCTCCCCTGATACACCACAGCAAGGACCTCTGATGACACATCTCCATGTGCAATCAAGAAGAAGAAAAGGGAACAACCATGGGAGATGAAGTTCGATCCCACACTTCGCTGAAAAGGAGCGAGAGCTTCGGGCAGTCAGTTGAGAAGCCCTGTGAAACACCATGGCTCCATTTGTAATGAAAATGTTGACATAATTCCATGTTCAGCTAATATATTTTCAGTTTGGAAGTGCTCAGGGCTTTGACAGAKTATTAACATTTTCTTTGGAAGGCAAACATTTTCCCAGAAGTCTAATTGAGTTGAAAATCATACTTCTTATTTAAAAAAATAGTATAAGTGAAAACTGTAAGCCAGAACAGGCTTCAAAATTTAAGACTGACTGCTCTTTGCTTCCCATTACTCAGACTCACTGTCCTTTAGGACACATATACACCTCAAAATTGCTCTGTAAAGCTAARTAGGGCACTCATCTATTTCATTTGGAATAAAAGAGCTGTGAGATATGTTCCYGATGCTACCTCAGGTCTTGGAAGAGCAGGAGGGCAGTGAAGCTATGTAGGACAAAAAAAGGAATCAGAGTTCAAAAAAGAGATAAAAATCACAGTGGTTTTCCTTCCAAATAAATTTTAAAAGACCATATTTTCAAAATCTCTTCCATCACCCTGATCAAACAGGAGAAAAATCGCTYCCAAGAAGTTTTCATTCAGCAAGTAACCAATCATGCAGGTGAGCTGGGGGCAAGAAAGGGAGAAAGGCTTTAGGGCAGAAAGGGAGCTATAAAGTTAATATAATCTCCATCTGTATTATTTTACACCTACAGCTCGCAACTATTCCTGAATTAATGGTTTCTTTGTTTTCTTTATTTTCTCTTCTACTCACTACCTCCRGATTAGGCACTTGGAAATACCGTGTCTGTGTGGACATCAAGGYATTACCACACTGCCATAAATATGCAGGGCTGGAGCTCTGCTGATAACCCTTCCCCATGGCTGTACYTGAGACAGCCTCGAGCTTGTCTGCACAGCACTGTTGGCTCAAGCCATGTTGCTCTTGGTTTGAGTTCTGCCCACACACGCATAAAACCTCTTAACTCGAGCACAGTGGCAYTTTCAACTCTGTTTGACTCGCCTGGGAAGGAGACAGGCTAAAATRTAAGTGAAGTCCTTAGTCCTTTCTGTAATTCCTTCCATGTGCCCAGGCAAGATAAATTCTCCAATGGTAAAGAAATCTGTAGCTCAATTTACAGTGGGGCTAAGAATCATGCTAAGAAATGCCATACCTGGAGGTATGCAACATCAGTCATGTAAGGGAAATGTCACTGTGTGGCATTTCCACGCCAGCCAAACTAATTCAAGAGGGGTAATTTGAGTGGAACCGGGCAARCATTTTTTTGGGGAGCACTGCTTTTGCCAGAATATAAAGTTTTAGATGAATAAAACTCCCTGTGAAACTGGTATTTCAAATCTAGAAAACTGTTTTAGCAAAAAAAAACATGGGAAAGAATCTTGAAAATGTCAAAATACTTCTTTTTTTCACAACTTTCAAGGAAAAAAGAAACCAAACTTGTCAACTTTTCATTTCTAAACAACATTTTTTATTTTGGAACTGACTTGAAAACAAAGGGAAACATTTTGCAGAGGGTAAACAATAAAAAATTGTTCAGTTGATCTGAATTTTCTGAATATGTTAAACTTCTCTTAAAAATGTGTATTAGGGTGAAGCAGATTGTTTTTTCTATCTTGATCACTTTAGTGGATAAAAAAAATTATTCCTAGAGCCATAAACTTTGTGAGACAGGTCATTAGCTTTATGATAAAGTCACTGCTACAGAAAGCCAGTAAATACCTGTATCTGGTTGAGCAGGATTCAAATTTCAGTAGTAAGAAAGGAAAATAAACCATAAGTAACATAATCAATYGACTGCACCTCAACAGAGGACAGGCTTTAACAAACTAAATAGGATTACCAAAAAGTGTGGATTCCTTTCTGTTCTTTTTTTTATTTTATTCTTGTTCAATCTTGGCCATTCAGAGTATCCTTCCTATCCCTGGCTAATTACAGGAGTAGGAATTCTGCTCTTGAGTATTTTGTATCTGTCATCACACCTGATACATTAGGTATGATTTCTCTTTGGCATGTGAACCTCTGTTTCTGACTGTAGTTCTTTCTTTTTTGGGTCTTGGAGAGGAGAAAGTATAACCGTGTGACACAAACCTGCTGCAGGGAAATGCATCTCTGTGATGTCTAGGAGAGGTGAAATCTTCCCGAGTACACAAGGCTTAAATAAAATTTAAGGAATGTGCCTTGACTGCATTTTGKTTTTTTTTCTGAAAATGCCATTTTCAGAAATGTCATTCAGAAATGTTACAATCAGGCTCAGCTCCTTACTGAACCTCCTTTGTATTTTCTTWTTTTGTGTTTCTTGAAACTGTGATACAGTGATGCTCCGAAAAGCCTTTTTTGCATCAGCATTAATACAAATGACAATAATATAAAAAAATGCAGCTGTTCACTTGAGTTTTGCATGGCCCCAAAAATCTCCTTCTATCAAGTACAGCAAACTTTGCCATCACTTGCCCTTCACTGCTCTGCATGATTTCTATTTGTTGTCAAGCCACACTCATTTTCCATCCCAATCCATTTAAACTGTGCCCTTTTTTCCCATACAAAACATCTAATTAACCTATTGAGCTTTCTTTCCACAGTGGATCATTAAGGCTAAAAAAAGGTCATCTGGCTATCCCAAATTTGTACATTTGAGCAGAAAATTAAAGATCTATGGTAGCATTATATAGAACTAGTCATTTTGTCAGCARGAGAACTTAACAAATTTGTTTTCCTGTAGTTTTGTGGATTCTTTAACATCTAATACTGTTATTGAGTTGATTTAGTGGGCTCTTCGCTTGGCAAGAGGGAAGAGCAGTCAAAAAACCATCAACCACACTACCAGAGGTTTTCAAATTTCCAAAGACACATTTAGGAATCACCACGATTTTCAGAAATCCAAAGACAAAAGTAATATTGTTCTTAAAATCCCACTGGGCATCTCTTTACAATTCAGGTCAGAACAGACCTTTGAAGATGTTTACTGACCTTTAGAAATATGCCTGGAAAGGTGTTCAATGGCACCTAAATGTTCAAGTAAAAATATTTTGCCTAATGGGTAGCTTATTCTGTGTACTTCCAATGTGTGGGAGAGGCTGGGTTTTGTAGCARCATTGTCAGAAATATCTATAAATARGCAAACCAGAAACTGGGCATTTAGTCTTAGCTAGTTTCCCAAATGGACTGCAGGAATTTGCAGACAAATCTGCCACTGAAGTAGACAAGGATTTTACCATGAAAGGTCCCAGCACTGAGAATTAATCCCTCACTCAAACCCAGCTACAAGAACTCCTTGCACAATCCTCATTCCAGCTTCAAAGCACAAGGATGTAAAACAAGTAAAAAATTATGTAAGACGAGGAAAAATGTGTATTCATGATGATGCATAACCTGGCAGAATACTTGATTAGACCCAGGGACAGTGGTGACCTGTGACTRTGTATCCAATGTGACACGTGGTGCCATTTAAATCAGATGTGGTTGGGCACCKTGCATGTCATTTTTGACACATCACCACTACTTCTTGCAGAAGACRAGATTAAATGACTCACCCCAACAAACTTCCTGAGAAATTCCCGGGAGGAYTCAACGTCTGTGTTGGAGAGCTCGATGTAGTCCCCCATCATTCCCTCTTCCGTGGCGGGCACCTCCCGGTAGAAGTGTTTGGCCCTGGCGTAGAACTGCATCTCCCCATTGATGACTTGACTTGTCAGAGCGTAAAGTTTCACTGCAAGGAGATAAATCGCTATTTTATTGTTAATGACAGRTATTTCTGGCTTAGTTAATTGCTCTGGAGGCATGATGATGAAGATCTATAAGCYTGAGTTGAGCCTTCAAAGCACCAATCTGTTTTTAAAGCAACTGCAAGGAAAGGTGCTGGATTGAATCCTACAAGACCTTGAAGGGATCCAGACCCCCTCATGCAAATTCAGTGCTTTCCAGATTCAGAAGTCATTTCAGTCATCACACTACGTTTTCATGTCAGTGAAAAATCACTTCAGGGTTGAAGTGAACATGCATGCCAAGGAGAGCAAGGGGTCTTGATCTTTCCTGGAAAAGCTATGGATGGCATTTACTGCTATGCAGGGTCATCATTTCTGCTATCACTGGCCTAACCGTTGTGCAGATTTCCAGATATGCTTTCCAGCKATTGACAGCTGCATGGAGAGTGCMCCAGGAAGAGAGTGGATGAATGAGRCACTTGCTCTGGTTTATTTTTAGTGATACYGTACGGCCTGTGGCAGTGCAAGTAAACTGAACCAAGAGCAGATGGTAGCCTCGGGCCTAAATGAGTATACAGGGGGGACACAGTTTAGAAGGGACAGTCCTAAATTTTCATCTGTCACAGGCCAAGGAGGAAGGTAATCAGTGGGTGATAAACTGAAAGGTTCCTGTGTGCCAGAGGAATGTTTCTTTTCATTGCTTGGCTACGTTGCYGGTAATACACAGCAATCAATAGTTTGAAGCTGTTTATTAAAGCCTGTGAGTTTTACTGGGTAAAGGGCTATTTTTCCCTATTCTTTAAAAAAGGAGGTCTATCCTTTACATCCTGAGTTTTCCTGTACTCGATGTATGCATGCATGCATCAGCATATCAAAAGCAGTTGGTTTGCAGCTCAAAAGTTTGGATTGCAGCAGTATACACATTTTGCTTGGAAATCATCACCTCTGACTCGTGTGTGCATACAGGTGTCCAGGCATTCTCCTATGTATATGACAGACCCTCCACCAAAAATACAACTCCAAGCCTGACAGTGAAAGCAGCAATCAGGAAGGATRGAATCACACTGGCAACAAGCCTTTGGGAGCACCACCTTGCAGTGTGGRACCAGCTCTGCTGCAGGTTCCCAGCGCGCCCAAGGGGCTGGAAATGATCCAGCAGCAAACACCTTTCGAGCTCATAACAAGAGAAAGGGAGAGCTCCCCACCAACTGCATGCACAGAAGGACCAGGGAGCAGCGCTTTGTCGCTGCATCTTTAAACTTCCACGGGAGCACTGCCAGCCACTGCTGGGAAGGGGCTGAATAGGCCGTGCCTTGCTTGTGCAGGCTGGGGAACAGGAATTATGCCCTCCACACAGGGATGAGAGTAAGGCCAGAGGCCCTGAATATAAGCCTGGAATGTATTTAATTGAGGGCAAGCAAGCTCAGCRGGGAATGATAAGTGTGTGCCTGCCCATCCTCAGCAGGAGAGTGACATTTTGGAAGCAAATGAGGGGGGGACAAAGGAAGTAGGATAGGGAATAATTACCACCAAGGACCACTCAGAACAGAATAGTGCTATTGGGTTACACATAAGCAGCATGCCCAGCATATCCCTCATCCAACAAAAGCAGCATTACCAGCCCCTCTTGTCATCACCTGCTTAAGTCAACTGCTGAACGGATACTATTAAAGCTTTAATCCATTACACATTTATGTTATGCCTGAGAAATTTATACCACAAGAAGCACTGAGCCCAGCAAGGGTCAAACCTGGGAGTTTTACACACTCCACTGATTATATTCACATACTCAGAAGAAATCATTTAGCTGAAGGAATTAATATGAAGGGGGCAGCAGCCAATCCCYAGCACAACTTGGCTAGGGTGACTCCCAGAGCCTGGGAAAAAGACTCCATCGGTGGCTGTGATTCTTTCAAGAAGGGATCTCTTATCCTTCTCCAGAAGTGGCACCATGTTGTCTTCTCTGCATCTCCTTTTGCACCATTTCAGAGGTCAGCCTGTCTSCTGAGCAGAACTGAATCCCTGCATGTTGGCTTTGCAAGATCTTCCATGTAAAAATCCAGTGATGATTCCGGGGYTTGTTTAATGGACCTGTCAAGGGACAGTGATTTATCCCATTTTGCTGGATTGAAGAGAGAGGCATTTACAGGCTGTCTGCACACCAGGACAGCATGAACAACAAATATTCAGAGTTCTTCTACTCAAAACATGAGCCTGACCTGAGGCAACACATGGGGACGATATGCTGTTCAGGATATCAGATCTGGAGTGTGYGCTCTCACATTTCTCACTCAGAACCAATATCAGGCTTGCAGGATTCCTGGCAGGACTTGCATGCACAMACCAGCTGATTGCAGCTCCTCCTGGGCCATCTGGGGCCCCAGAGCCCTGCCCTACGTGCTGGCATCTGACACCAGCTATGGGTGAGCATCCACAGGGTCTTCTCTGTGCATCAAACTGTGCAAAGATGTTTTTATGCACGTCTCCTACTCCAGGGCATGCAAGGACATGTGCCAATGTAAAGAGTTACAGTGTACCCAAAGTCTTCTCCTGTGCACCTGCAGCCTCATTGGTGCAGTGTGAGATCCACAGAGGTGATTTCCTCCTCTTGCTCCCTCAAGGTTGCTCCTCCCTCTCAGGAATTTGTYGCTGCCAGCTCTCCCAAGGTACAATCCAGTTTTCCAGACACAGCCAATCAACCTCATATCTGCTCTGCCTTGCAGCTGTGCCTGGCATGCAGGCTCCAGCAGCATGGGGACACAGGGGAAAGAAGGAAGTTTGCCAGCTTGCAGGAATCTACCCCTAAAAGAAGTGCCACAAGTCCTTGGCGGCTGTCAGTGTTGCAGCCATGCCTTCCCCTCATCATGCCTAGCCAGAGGCATCTCCTTTTCAGGACTCATGTGGGACTATCCCATGCATCAGGAAATTAAATACTTGTGAGGCCTTTTATGGATACACCRCCTGCCTTCAACAAACTTTGTAAAATAGGGCATAAGCAGGATAGGGCGATAGAGACTGCAAGCCCCCCAGACATCACAGGGCCAGGCACCTGTCTAACATATGGGGTTTCCAGCATTAAGGCAGGTAATTTGCAAGATTTAAGGTTAGAAATGTGTTTCCAGAAAAGAAGAAACCCTTTTCATGGCACACTTGTCCCCCCAGCTGAATCTGCTGGCAAGTCCCCCAGCGGAGATGGTTGAAGCTAACCCATGCTGAAGTAGGCTGAGGGCACGAACTGGCTCCCTAAAGGTCACTCCAGTCATRAGACATTAATAATTTTCAGTCACTGCAAACACTGTCTGGATGTAGAGTGATGATCTACAGCTGAATGCCAACCARTGTGGGCTARACAGACACTGTCCACCTGAGCCTTYTKCCCTGCAAAGTCCAAAACATTATCTCTAATATTTTCTTATGGATCAGTTAAAAATACTGTTTTTCAGCGCATCTGGTCTAAATCTCCAAAGAAATGGACTACTTAATACAGAAGGCCCTGTGCAATCCCAACCTGCAGTACACTGACTTTGGGGTTTCCTCAACTAAATTTCCCCGGCAGAAGTAAATGTTGCAAGTAATTTTTTTGGAAGTTTTTATTTGTGAACATTATTTTGCGGCTGCAGTTGCTTTCTGCAAGATACTGAACTAATTCCAGTTTGGCTGAGGGCTCCCTTTTAAATGCAACATCTGCTTAGCGCATCAGTTGAAAAATAGTTATCTGTGTGCATGATAGAATCTACTACCTCTCTACTGTGGTCTAAGTACCATGTAAATTCTGTTTTATAGAGGATGAACATCATCCCACCCCAAAAGCAGATTTTACTTACAGCCACGTGCCTCATACACAGGAATATTTGTCTCTAGGGATGGATCATCTCAGTTTTCCACTGCAGATCTCAGCCCACTGGCACCAAGTCTCACAGCCCGTGTAAACACGTGCATAATTTCCAGYATCTGAGTAGCTCCAATAAAGTCCACTGGGCTTAAGGGCTCTCACACACATTTAAGTACATTGTTGGATCAGGGCCTAAAGTTACTCATGTCTTTTATTTATAAATGTTACCCTGGTCTGTAAAAGTGACATGTTTCTCTTAACAGGCTAKGATACCAGATATGCTCAGCTCCTAAGTAAACATGCCTAATAGTGCTCCACCACTGAACCCAGCAATGGAGTGGGGGCAGTGTGGAGTTAGCAGAGTTTGAAGGAAGCTTTGTACCTTGCTGACCCTGGACAGTGCTGCAACATTCAATGTTGAGGCTTGGTTTCAACAGTATTACTCATGAGGAGGGTTAAGCACATGCTTAACTTCCCTGCCAGGTCACAGTGTTGCTCTAGTCCTCTAACACTGTTTACACAGACGTATCTGGCTCTAATCTTGAAGCCTGAGAAGTTCATTTCTGCTCAGTTCCACTCTGATGTGAGCTGGAAACTGCCATTATGTAGCGATGTTCAGACCTGCCACATTCYGTCCTCTCTGTCACAGAGAGCACTGGATCACAGGAYAATCCAAGCYGAAAGGCACCYAAGGAAGTCTCTAGYCCAAGCTGCTGCTCAAAGCAGGGACAGACATGACGTCAGATGAGGTTCATCAGGGTTTAGAAAGYYTCCRGTGATKGGGAATTGTACAAATTCCTTGKGCAACCTGTGCCAATGCCTGACTGTCCKCACATGGAAAGATTTTCTTCCTTATAACCAGTCTGGACTATTTTTGTTTCAATTTATGATCACTGACCCTTGCCTCAAACAACTGTGCAGATCTTAGCTCTGTCTTATGACCTTCTTGTAGGCACTGGCAGGATGATATCTGGTCTCTCTTCTGTCTGAACATGCCCCATTCCCTTCCTGTAACTTCACAGGGCATGTGCTCCAGTTCCCCCACCACACTGTGGGTCTTCCAACTCACTCCATGTCCTTTCCTGCACAGGGAGTTTGGGACTCTACACATATGGTCTAATGACTGCTGCAGAAAAGGGGATTATCACTTTCCTCAATCAACTAGCCAAGCTTTTGTTAATATATCCTAGGATATTATTGGCTGCCTTTGCTTCCAGGACATTCAGCTGCTGCCTACCAAAATGTCACCAGCAGAGCTGCTCCCTGGCTGGACACTGATCAGTCTGTAGTGTTGCTGCCAAGGGTTTTTCCTACCCAGGTACACAATTTGGCATTTGGGTTTGAATTTCAGTGAATTTGAATGGCTGTCTCTTCCTACTGTCTCTTTCCTCCAGTCTATTTAGATGCCTCTGGATGGCAGTCCTGACTTAGAGCTTGTGGGCAAGTCCTACCAGTTGGCTGCAATCTCTGAATGTGATGATAAACCAGTCCTTCTCCTCCTCCAGGTTATTGATAAAGATGGCAGGGGAGTTGAAACCAGACAATCTTTAAGGTCCCATCCAGCCCAAACCATTCTCTGGTTCCAAACAGGACAGGTTCCAGGACAGACCCTMATAGGATTCCACTGAGTTCAAGATCTGACTGTGACTTTCTGAGCCCAATCACCCAACCATTTTTTACCCACCTGACTGTCCCCCATCCAGACCCTGACATCCTAGCAGGATGTGAAGCTACCTGGATATGTATTCACATCACATGAACTACTCGACCTGTCTTCATGCCCTCTTTTACTCCATGACAATAACCATGGAGTACCAGACATGCAGCATGTTCACGTTAAGGCTGGGCTCACAGCCCATTTCCATGGAGTCAAAGTAATTTGGGTAAGCTGGAATAGGCCTGTAAGCTCTTTAGTTAAATTTTAATGAGTCAGGTCATGAAAAGCCTGACAGAGGGAACCTTTGATCTGATAGGAACATYTTACAAAGCCTGTTGGCTGGGAATGGAAATTCAAATAAAAGTCAGACAAGAAATAAAATATAGTTTTATAAGAGTGAACCAATTAGGCCTGGAAACAGCTTAATGGTGACTGATGGATTCTCAGCCATTTGAATCACTTAAATCAAGATATTCTGTGTTCATAAACACATACTGTGACCCAGACAAGTTACAAACATGATCCCGGAATTGTTACATTAAATTCTAAGTTAGATGGTCATAATGGTACCTTCTAACCTTAAGAATATCTAGTCGTACTCACACAAACAGTTAACACTGTAGGAAATCCTGCTCAGTTTCTAATAAGTTGTGTTTATTTTCAAAACAAATGAAAGAATAACATTTTCATAGACTTCATGAGATTCCATCAACCTGTAATTGACTTCCTTTACATCTTCCCTTCCTTTCTATTGTTCACAGCTACCTATCACTAGAGACAGGAGTATTTATCTTCCGTGTTTCATTTTAAATAGCTGCAGATACTGCTGCATTTAAAAAGCCATGTTAAAAATACTAAGATAATAAGGATTTTTTTTTTTCTTTACAGGATTCATGAATTCTACCTTATTRAGCAGAGTTATCACTGGCATCTGTACAGTTCACACAAACAGGTAAGATTTTGCCTAAATGGATCATTCAAACAGAAGGGAACTTTCAATCACTTAAACAGACTGCACTGACTCATCCTTCCCATCTTTAGATTCTTACAGTTCTGACATTAAGTGTAGACTGAATAATTCTGCATAAAACATGACATGCTAATATAATACAGCTTCAAGTCAATTCTACTTTTTAGCTTTACTATCACAGGGAAATTTTGTTTCTTATTCAGGGTCAAATTTTCATAAGAAATGAACACTGATTTTCCACATCTCAAACCACATCTCAAAAAAAAAAAACCAAAAAACCCAATCTCTTGGCACTCTGTATCAGAGGCTGTAATTGAAATTTGTCTATAAACAAATTTTTGGAAGCATTTTCCTTCCAGAGAACAAACAGCAGGTTAGACAGTCTACTGCAGAGATCTGTGTAACAAAGACTCTCAAAAAAAAAAAAAATTTAAATCATTACCTTTCAAGCACTTGCCCAAAACAATACAAACAACAGAGCTAAGGACATCCAGAATGACAACACAACAGGTATCAGGCAAAAGGAAGAACGGACTGYCAGCTCTGCTAGTTTTGCATTTGTCCTTCCAAGTTCCAAACAAGTCAAAACATGTTTTACTCAAATGATGGCAAAAAAGGAACGGTCAAGCAAAAACCAAAATTCTCAGTCACTTTTGCAGTCTTTCCCTTGCCTTTCTCTAAGAATCTATGGACTAATTAGGTGAAACAACAGGGTACTGARTGAGCACTATAGTCTCTCGAGCTGGGCTTCTCAAAACTCCTTCTGCTCCTCACTGTAACGTGTCTGCCCTCTGCCATCTGACACGATCCATCTTTCCAGAGACTGTCACACATACACGGACACTCCTGCCCACAGCTACTCACCCAGGGGAAGCTTTTCCAGCAGATAAAGGTAACACTTAAAGAAGTCGTTTTGGATCGCCTTGTGCAAGACAAAGGACATGCTGTGCCGGCAGAGCTCTTCGTCTGTCTTGTGCCAGCGTGACTTAAAGGCCAAATGTGCTGCTTTATAGGCCATGATGAAGATTTCTTTTGTGAGGGTGGACAGCTGCTGTGGCTGGTGTTCTCTGGAGGGCCTGTCCTTCCGAGGAGGCAGAGGCAGCGTCATTTAAATTGTGGCAATGTGCTGTCATTCTATATCAGGGTGTGTGGCAGGGGGTGGAGGCAGGCGAGAGGGGAGTGAGAAATGCTGGCTCTTGGCAGTGGCTCACGGTCGTCCCTGGAGCGTTGCCCTCTGAAACAAGCAGGTGCTGGAAAGTGAAAAAAAAAACAAAAAAACAAAAAACCCACCAGGAAGTTGCTTAGCTGGGGTAAAAGTATGTCTACTTCAAAAAGGAGTGGCTTTAATTCAATTGTCCTTTTCCCAATCTATTCAGCTTYTGCTTCAGAGGAACTGAGATATATCCAGGATCTCCCTCTTATATCTTGCAGAGTGATTTTGTTTCTGTGTCTCTCCCTATCAGTTCTTCAGTGCAGAGCACCCAAGAGGAAGGGCAGACAAGAGAACATGGACATTCCTGTTCACAAAATATGAGTCCTAATAAACTGTGATTATAGTAAGCAAAGAGGGAAAGCRACTGATTCAGCTTTGTGTTTTGTCTCTGTGTGTAAGACAAGTCACTCTGTGTGCCTGGGTTCATTTAACCTGTTTAAAGGGTGCAGACTGCCTCATCATCAGGGACTGGCTGGAAGGAAYTGATGTCTGCTAACACAGGAATGGTAAAGTCAGGGAAGGGTAAGAGCTTTTTGCTTTAGTTGRCAGAATGCACAGAAGAACAAAAGGAGATAAACTGCCTATTTACAAGAAAAAATTATTGGCTGGTGAAAGGCAGGTTCAGGCCACTTCATGAGGTGAGTTGTAAATAAATAGTGTGTCCCATCCCAGAGGAGGTGGGACAAGGTGTCCATCAAAGGACAAGGAGAGACAGACATTGCTTCAAAACCTTTTTTGTCCCCTGGTAGCTCAGGTTCTTGGTGTGGGACATCCTCAAGCCTCCTGAATTGCAAAGGGACCTGGCAGGGGGGGATGAGGACTTCCGTCTGCACTGACCTCCACACAGTGTGCCCATGAGGGTTTTCCCTTTTCAGGCTCTTTGTTCTRGGTGTCTGMAATAGAAGCACACTGCAAAGCAGCMACACATCAGGCAGCTGGATGTTTCCAGTACAAATGGGCTGCCATACATCCCCAGTAGGACTGCAACCTCCTGACAAATATCTGACCAAGCTTCTAAGAGCACCACAAATGTGACYCAGCCTTCACCAAGGTAAATAAATCATGTTTGGAAAAATATACTTTCTTTTAAGTGGGATCAGTTCCCTAGTCCATCTCACAGCTGACACGAGGGAGTTTGTCATGTGTCACCGTCCGGGGGCTGGAGCAGCCACCTGGGATGGTRGTGTGGAGGAAGGAGCCACACAGCCACAATATACAGTGGCCTTACCAATAATGCAGATCTGCCTGCTTCATCCCATCAAAGAGGTGTGCTCGAGGGGGTGCCACAACAGCAAAAGGTAATCCTGGTGGCACTCAGCAAAGTGAGCTTTTCTCGTACAAAACACCATAAACCCCATAAGAATTGGCACAGTGACATCCACACTTGTCTTTCCATGGTATCATTCTCAACCAGTCAACATAAATGTGTCAGAAATAACTGTTCTGAAAAAAAAACCAAACCAGGGTTAGTTTTTCAGGGTGAATATTGGTTATAACTGTTTTGGCTTAATTAGTGGTGAGTTTGACTCACAGTAGTCCTGCCCCGCACAAAAAGAGTGAATATCTACAGAGGGCTGCRTAAACACTATTTCTGTTATTATACCTGCATGTGATCAAATAAATCCCTGTTGCAGCTCTGTAATCTATGAGTTACTGTAACACCCGTGGTCCTCAGATCCTAGTGCAGCTAAGCAAATGAATCTTAAGAGCACTGAGCATTTTAAAGCACTTTCAAAGCACTTCCTATTGCTGTCAAAGCTTAGAGTTAACAGACTTGTGACCAGAAGTGTTTGAAAAAGGTCACATAAAGAGCAGRATTAGGGTTTTGTTGGATTTTTTTTTTCTCAGAATGGATGCTGTATTTTCCATTTGTCAACAGCAGTATCTTAAGGTTTTCTGTTAAGAAAAACTCAGAAGCAGCTCATGCTGTCTCCTAAACCCACATTCTGAACAGGAGTAGTATCAGTGTACCCAGAAACTGTGAACAATTCAAGCACTATCACACACCACATCTGCATTAACAAGGAGTGTGAGCTCGATATGGGCACAATGACATCTATGCTACCTGTGCTATGACTGCTGAAATGTGAATAAACCTATTTCTCAAACTTAATTTCCTTTCCCAAATATAATTTGACTCTTTGTGAAGTGGAAGCCAACTAGCCAGCCTTTTTCTTCGTAGTAGAGGCACTGGAGAATCCAGACCTCTAGATAAACTGGAGTAAACTAAACCAAAGTAATCCATAATGCATGAGTCATTGGCTTGAACAGCTTTTGGTCTAAAATAAGAATGTGCAAATAGTTCCTCTGTGTGACTTCCTCTTCCTTCCCGTGAGATCAGGCAGTTCTAYGACAAGAGGTTTAGCAGAAATTAAAATGAGGGATCAGCTAGTRTGGCTTCGTGTTAAAATACCTGCAGCTGATCTCTGCCTAAGTAGCAGGTTTAAAATAAGGTATCAGATGGCTTATGATGAGTTTCTACAAGATCCAAGGCAGATCTGCTTGCTGGAGCATCAGGGTATTTAAAAGAGGAGTTTGACTTGCTTTTATGTTAGTAGGTAACTACCTGCCTCTGCAGATTTGAGCTGCACACACTATTTCTGAAACACATCAGCTGCACAGAAGAGAAAAATAGAAACATATGCACTACACAGATCACAAAGGGTCAATTTTGCCTTTAAATGACTRTGTTCTGCCTACAAAACACCTGGCATGCAATCTAATTTCCACACGGACAAGCCATCAAGATTGCTGTAAGATTTTTCTTTATCTTAGAAAGGCCTCTATAGTCATTCGTTTCCCTCACACTCATGATTAGCACATGCTGTCAGGRATAGGTGTGGTTAAAACAAGTAATTTTTGTTTTGTCTTTGACAACAGGTTTTAAGAGTTCCTGAGAACCACAGGCTGATGTCGACAGAAGAGGCACGGGCAGAGAGCACACGTGCTGCTCTGAAGGGCAGTGAAGAGCAGCTGCAGGTCGGATGGCAGCTGGTAACCTTTAAACTGACTGCTGCCTGGATTGTTCTGGCTGGATTGTTCAGCTTCAGTGGCTTATTCAGAGCAGCAGTGAACGCCCTTGTCTGGGTGTCAGGCTGGAAAACAGCAATGTGACACTGGRTGTGCTAATTGTCTGACTTGCTGAGGTCCAGAACTCTTAGTCACAATCCTAAAYGCCACTCATGGGTCCAATCAGACTTAGCAGTTTTCAAAATTATTACTGTGAAAATAATTTAGTTTTGAGTTGACTGCAGAATAGACAAAAAAAAAAAAAACCACTTTGCATTGATGAGAAACTGAAATACTGGCCTTTTCCTACATGATAAAAAATTTCTGTGTCAGGCCAAACAAAATGTTTTGGTTTGTTTGCAGAGCTATTTCCCTTCTAATTTTTATTTGTTTATTTGTAATCAGATKCAGGTAGATTTGGTTTCAGCCTATCATTTACAAATGCATGCAAGAATAATGTCACCAACAGACTGGTCAGTGTTGCAAAATTACTCTGTGGCAAGGAAATGCAGAGCAAAGCAAGTCCTTGGGCAAAGACCCAACCTTGGGAGGAWAGGACTTCTGATGTCTCAGGAGAAACCCTTGCTTTGAGCCACATTTCCAAAGCAGAGTTCACTGCTTGTAGGTCAGGATGACTCACACCCTTCAGGGCATATCCCGCACAATTCCCATGCGCTTTCGTGGGTGCAGTCACAGCAGCAATCTGTTATCATTTATACAATTGGAATTTAGCAATCTGGAATTCCATCTAAAGCAACAAAACACAGGCTGTGAGCCCTATGGGTAAATACATTAAAATTAATGTAACTGAAATTGGCCAGAGCTCTATCCCTATGGAGGGAATACACACTTCTTTCCCTCTAATCCTTCTAGCTCTGGTGCCAACACTAAATTACATTATAAAGAGAGTGAGTGAAGCCAGTCTTAGGTAGGAGAGGGAGCCTGAAGCTCGTGTCCCAAGCACAGTGACAGACCCAGCAGGACCCTGATCTGGAGATCCACAAACAGTACGCTAACATAAATAGCGATATTTGGGGGGGACTCCTGCATGCTTTGAGYGTGAAGATTTTATTTGGTTCTGGTTAGGGACGCTCAGTAGTGCTGAGGATGAAGGGAAGGAAGAGCAGGGCTCAGATGAAACTGCAGCAGGGGCTGCTCTGTTCTTGATAAGAAGCATGACAGCTGTGCCCACAACATCTGGTTTTCATTGAACCCTAGTGAGAGTTCCTTGCTGAGTCTCTTCCACCCCATATGTGGTGGTTTAATTGATGGAGCCTGAGAAGGTTTTAGGTCCAGCGTGGAATGCCACCTTTCACTGTGATATGTGACTCCAGATACAGTAAGGACTGGGCTGCTCAGAGTCATCTTTTAAAAGCATTTCTTTTCAACGTTCARTTTCGAGTCTATTGCCCTCTGTTGGCTCAAGTGCAGGGTAAAGCTCTTTTTTGAGGTGAAAACTAACAAAAATCTCCTGGCTGAATGGTGAGGCTTGTGGGTTTTGGGAAATTTAGGATCAAATCTGCTGTAGCCTTGTATGTGAGTATGTATAGTTTGTATCCCCCCCATAGCTCTGTTTGAGAATGCAGGCACAGCTCTAGCCAAGGAGGAAGAGGCTCTGGAAACTGCCTGTCTCAGCCACTGTGGACTGCAAATCAGAAGAAAGTTTTAAGGAGTGACCAGAGGGAATAGTGGTTTTTTGAGTGAGGATAAAGAGGATATTGCACACTCAGGAAACAGCACAAAAAGCAATACAGAAATCCCTCAGGGAGAACTGGGCAAGTGGGAGATAAGTTAGCCCTAATGTCTTTCAGCTCTGGCATGCAACTGCCAGAAATGCTTTGGTAAAAAGGCTCTCAAGGATTTATTTTCAATTCCAAAGCAAAAGAAAGATGGCAACCCACACCATCAAAGCTCCTTCTGCAC